CCTCACATTGGTGTATATTAAGCTGGAATACATATATATATATATATATATATATATATATATATATATATATATATATATATATATATAAATAAGGATTATGCATGTTAGAACATATATGGAGAAAAAATATTGAATAAAAACTTATATTTATAAGAAAATTAAGCAAAGATAAAGGACGACGGAAGGAGAAATGGATATATAATTTTTTGGGCTATAAATGAATGAAAAAATATATGGGAACTCTTTTTTTAGAAATTGTTCTGTCACGAAGCATGAAATTTTTTTCCTTTTTTTCTTTGGTTATTTATTCTACTGTGACAATATATTTCAAGAATAAATGTAAATGTACACCTGAGTGTTTTAATTTGTGTAGTTCATAAATTTTAATAATAAAAATTGAAATGATACATATTGTGTTTATTGGATGAAAATAAAAATATTTTTTTCACAAGAAAATATTTTTTTCTTTAATTTCCTGTCATTCAAAATATCACTCTTTTTTTTTCTGTACTTAGTTTATGATCAGTATAGTCATTTCTTATCCCTACTATCATTGTGTCCATCACTAGCTAATCATTATTTTCATCATTGCCATCATCACTATATCCACTGTCATTATTGTCATTGCCATCATTAATTAGGCTATCATAACATTATCATTATTATTATTATTAGTATAGTATGCATCACCATATCATCATGCCATCCTCGATCTTATTCTCATACACAACATGGAGAGAGAATTTAGTCTAATTATAAGATTATATTTTTTTGAAATCATTAAATTGATTTAAGTATTTTTTAGAAAATATGATAAAGTTTTATCATGTTTGTGAACTTTTTCTCCCAACACCGTTGCTATTATCTCTACTTAATTAATAAATTATAATTTTAAAATAATAATAATAATAATAAAGCTGAAAAAATATCCTTCAAAATCCATTTCGAGTTTAAAAATGATTTATTTTCTTCTAAAAATAATAATAATATGATACATATATCTTATTATAAATATTTATTTATATGTATAAAACAAATAAAGATATAGTCAAGTCCCATATCATTATATTAAGCTTTTAAGTTAAATTAATATCATATGACAAACTTGATTTAATCTATTTCTATTAGCATCTGTGTCTCTAATAAACACCAATAATTAATCATAGAGGAAAAATTATAAAAAAGAAAGTGAATATTTTGTTTTATCATTTAAGACAATTATTTAAATTTTTTAATAAAAATAAAAATAACTGCTGTCTACCTTAATTCTCTCACAATGACATCATTACCTCATCATGTGTCCTTTCATACAATGACTTGCTCCCTTTATATTTACTATCATCTTTTCCTTAGTGCATGTCATGAGAGGACATCTCCTTTACGATTATTATTATTATTCGATGTCCTTTTTAATTTTGAAGTGAATTTTCAAGGATAATCAAGTGTGATCGAAATATCAAGTAAATAAATCATAGAGCATCATCTAATCAGATATCATCCATTAAAAATTACGAGGTAAATATATTTTTTATTATTGAGAACCCAATACCAACAGCAACAATACAAGTGCAATATATATATATATATATATATATATGACCTTAGGAAGTGGTCTTAAAAGGGTGGTAGACTTTGAGGTCGGTGAAGATACCGGCGACGGAACCGACGGCAGCGGCTATGGTGATCACGAGGCAACCTAAGCTGAGCATTTGCAGGCACACCCACCTAAGGCTCCACCTTGGTATCCTCTTCTGCACGATGTACATCTCCACCGGGAAGTAGACGGTCAGCGGCCAGAAGCCGAGTGCGCCGAGCAGGGCGACCACGTCGTTGAAGAAGGGCAGCAGCATGGAGATGACGGTGGTCAGCACCACGAAGGTGGAGCGCCACACCAGGCGGAAGAGGCTGAGGCGGAAGCGCTTGGTGGGGGTGAGGGGGACGGCTACCTCCTTGGTGATGAAGGTGGAGTCGGGCCATGTCCGGACCGCCCACTTCTCCACGAAGGCGAACAAGGGTTGGCAGAACACCTGGTAGGCTCCGACGAGATGGACGACGATGGCGGCGTTGGCGATGTCGAGGAGCCAGTAGGGGTTGTAGAAGCCGAAGCCGGTGAGGAGGTTGCCGGGCGCGCCGTCGCCGAACGCGGCGTAGCCCATGCAGCCGCAGAGCATGTAGAAGAAAGTGGTCACGGCGATGCTCACCACCGAAGCCTTCTTCATCACCTTCGCCTCCGACGGTGGTGGAGCTTTGATGGTGTCCTGAACAAGCAGCAACATTACTTGGCGTGCATGCGAAGCCAACACCGATCGCTTTAGCTCATCAGACAGCCAAATCTACCTGGATTTCTATGAGGATGAGGGAGAAGGAGTAGGCGAAGGCAATGTCGCCCAAGGCTTGGAGGCTCCGCCATATCTTCTGAGTCGGGGAGACAGCGCCGATGCTGATTCCGGTGAGGCTGCCTTTGAATCCTTTGTTCGCTGTGAGGAAACAGAGGAGAGCAGAGCAGTCAGATCCACTGTGCATGAGAGAGTTCAATTGGCCATGCCGGACCGGAGATGGAGGCGCACCGATGACTTGGACGATGCCGAGAGCGAGGCCGATGGAGGAGTAGGTGAAGGACATGACGGCGGCGACGATCGAGAGCCACCATATCTGGTCGAAGTCGGGAATCTGCGACAGGAAGATCTCCGCGATGCCGAACATGATCATGTAAGGATTGCTGGAGGCATGGCAAGGGTTCTCGTGGCCTCTCTCGTGGAAACAATTAGACCTTTTGATCGCCCTGTTTCACAAGATGAAACCACTCGTTAGAACCACGACAAGCTCCAACCTTCTTCCCAAGGAGAACGATGATCTGTGTCGTTCTGAACTCCACTCACATCATGCTAATGGAGGAAGCGATGGTGTAACCGATAGCGACGCCGAAGAGGTTGGCATACTGGATGAATCCACAGAGCTTGACCTTTAGCCCACCTGAGGAGAAGGCAAAAATGTTTAGCCATGGCGACGTATTCTGCAGGGAGAGCTGTGCGAACTCACCGAGGTAAGCGTGGACCGCGTCCGTGTAGCTGTAGTTGCGCTTCCCGGCGATGGGGTCGCCGGAGCGGTAGCAGTCAGCAAGGAGAGTGGAGGTGTAGTGCGTGACGAAGGAGAAGAGGAGCATGACCACGGGGCCGGCGACCCAGCCGAGCTGCGCAATGGCCCAGGCGAGAGACAGCACGCCGGAGCCAATCACCGCCGTGACGATGTGAGCGCTTGCCGTCCACAAGGTCCCTAAAACACGCCCATATCTCCTTCATCAGACGAAGAAAGCACGAAATAGGAGCCAACAAGCAGAAGAGATTGAACAAAGTTTCGGTCTTTACCGGTTCTCTTGGCTCGGCCGTCGTCATCGTAGCACTCGAAGGCTTCCTGAAGCTTATGCGCGTGGCTAACCTCGACCGAAACACTCGCAGGGGTAAAAGCTAGTTGCTGGTAGCAATTGGCGCCGCCGTTCTCTCCCATCTCGAGACCTTTTTGCCTTCACTACTCCAATGGCAACAGAGAGAGAGAGAGGGAGGGAGGGAGCAGAGTGGTCTCTGCGGCCTTTTCAAAGGGCAGAGAAGGGAAGAGAAGAGGCGGCGAATGGAGTGGGGAGAGAGGCTCGATGCTTTGGGCCTTATATCGAGAGGTGGAAGGGGAAGCGAGGACTATTGCAACGTGCCAATTAACACGGTTTGACGCGGAGGTCAACGATGCGGGAGTCTCCCAACCTCCACTACCGCTCCGCTCTGTTTCACAACCTCATCTCTTCCTGTTCCTATCTCTTCCCTCGGTTTCTGCTGCTGCTGCTGCTAAATCTCTTCGCGTCAACCATCGCTTTTCTTCCTAGCCATTAAGGTATGTGCATGAAAGCACCAACACATAGAACAGTGCGGAATTCAGTCAGCATATGTTATCTTCTTACCTTGTGCAATCTGTTCGACCGAGGTCACTGTGCTTCTTCTGTTGCTTCCGCTACTTGCTTGAAACGAAGAGAGGAGAGATGATGGGGCTGTTCTCGTCTGCTATAAGCGGCAGTTGAGCTCTGGGCTTGATATATATAGGCCAACAGAGAGCAATGGCCATTAATGCCTACCATGAAGCTCTGCAGAGGTTCCCACGTTGTCGTGCTGCGGGTCCGTCCTTGTTGAAGGGGAATCAGGTTCTCATCAATAATTATCTCTCGATCGATCGATCGTGTTGCCAAGCTACAAATCCTACTGAGATGACGATGATGATGATGATGACACTGCAAGATTATTACCTGAACACAAGCTATGAAGCTAAACAAAATGGATTGAAAGCCTAAGATGACTCTTGAGACCAATATCTAAAGAACAATTTCCTGATATTTTGGTGGGACTATTAACATTGAAATACATAAATTTATAGCCAATTCATTTCGAGAAGAAATTATCACCACCTTTGTGTGTTGGGAGAAATTTCCTTGACATAAAACATGTAGGTTATTTATTTCTCTTTTTTTGAGTAAATATAGATAACATCACCCAATCACCTTTTCCACTAATTGTTCTACCTATCTTGTGATGCATCATAATCACTGAGGCTAAACACCAATTAATTACTGTAGTGGAATTCTTTTGCCTTGGATTTGACACACTTGGCAAAAGTTGGAAGCAATTTTCTATGTTATCAAAGGTAAAGGGATTCATGATTAGAATTTAGGTGGTAAATGCAGAGGTGAATCAGACTAGTGGAGAGATTCTTATGCATTTCACCATTCCTTGTGGCACTTTGGAGGACTCCCAAGCAAAAGTAGATGAGGGACCAAAAGACATGGTAGAAGGAGTGCCATGTAAGTACCATTAGATCGATTGATTCAACGCACACATGTAAAAGTGTCAATCTCTAAATGGAGAATATTTCGATTCACAATAGTGATGATTGTGTGGCATTAATCCTCACCATTGTGATGATCATTATCCATGAAAGTTTATACATAATGTGACTCCCATAAATATAATCCTTCATATTATATAGTTTTCGATGGTCGCGGAGAACAAACAAGATATGGGATTATGGCATGTGATTTTTCCCCTAATGCTGCCATCACGTGCCCTTAATCTTGTATTAGATATACTTCTCAGCGAGTGGTGTACAGCACTGAGATGTGTCATCTTTGCTACTTGTCTTGACCAAATCTTAACTAGCAATCTTTATCCCATTTGTATGGGGCCAATGGATAGAGTCATGGTTTGCATGCATTCTAAAGTTGCTTTGTTCGGAAAGCTCAATTGGTATATAACATATCAAAGCCAATATGACTTCAGAACCATCCTTGAGATGATAGTTTCAACCTTTTCAGACACTTTGTAGCTAAAGGCAGTCTTTAAATAGCAGCAGAAGCTGCATTTGTGACTCTTAACTCAACAAAATAGCAATGGCTAATGGAATGCAGCTGATTCGAAGTAGGCCAAACTTTTCTGATCATGGAGGCTGAACAGTTCCTTGACGATACTAAACATCTGTGAAGGAGAACAAGCAAGCTGGATTCTCACATACTTATCCAAGAACTTGCTGCGGTTACAGGAGTTTGGACATGGAGTGCGGGGTGCCATCAGTCAAAAGGTCATCGATGCTCTGTATCTGATATGCTCGAGGGCTAAAAGAAGGAATCCATGGACCGCTGTTTGGGATTCTTTTTCTCATCGCAGCCAGTGGAGTCATCAGACTTGTGGAATCCCTGCAAGAATAAGAACAAGAGCACATGGGAGAGGAGACTTTAGATTAAACATATTAAGGGTTTCATCATGATGTCCATATCACATTTACAGAAAATGTGAAGATTTCATGCTGTCTTCGAAAAGGTAAGATCACTGGCGTTGGGCATCTCTATCTAAATTATATTAGAGGGAATCATTATCCTCAGGAATTCGTCTTTGGAACGCCATTGTCATGCATTATCAGCTTTATCTAAGCAGAGGAACATATGCTACTGCAGGAGAAGACAAGTGGAGAGTTTGTAAACACTTGCTCAGCGCAAGAAATGCAGTCTTCTAATTAAGCTTTGATCAACGCAGAAGGCGAGGTGATGGGAAACCAAACTGCAGATGGACACATAATGTTATTTCATATCTATTTTATCTTAAAAAGAAGACAAATCCCACATTAAAAAGTGTATTATTTCCAAAGGAAGAACAATTTGAGCTCACAGAGTCACGAAAACAGAGTAAAGATATAATATGTTGTATAATTTCTGGATTTCAACTCGGATTGGTGTGGACAAAGTGAAACGAGTTATTTCATCAGCTACGCAATTCCTGTCGGTGTGGTGGAGTGGAACGATTCTTATTAGCTGACTTATTATCTGAGTTCTCCTCGGAAGAGAAAACATTTGTAGCTCTATTATTTCATTTCTTATAAGATTTTTGGTGCATATTCTTAGATTTTCTTCAGCTCAGCTTTTAAGGCCATTGCTTCTGATATTTTTGGTGGATTCCGATAATTAAGCTGGAGATTTTACGGCAAAGTTTATATGCACAAGCAAAATTTTTGAGTGAGGAAGCATACCGAACAACGAGAAAACATGCGTGAAGTATAGTGAGAAGCATAATTCGAGGCAATCAAATATCCTTTTGTTATCGAGCAAGCATATATATATATATACTTGTCTCTATTTTTAGGCCGAGAAATATGAAGTGAAGAGATGCTGCACAGTATTCTTCTAGCTTGCTAGTTGGACAATGGATCACAATTATCAGGTGTTTGAGGTGACCCGGAACTGCACAGTATAGCCTTTGATTAGAGATGATAAACACATGCAAACTCCAACAATCTTGGGAATGCATCGACGACTTTTAGGCACACTGGGCATCG